TGTGTGTTTTAAAAAGTAAATAAAAGTGTAATTTTGACGGTGAAGTTTTCCTTTCAAATAACAGTTGTATCCAGGTCAAAAATAATGTGCTGGTCCTATGAATATAAAGGTATTGAATAAACAGAAAGAGAAGCACTGACACACTCTGAGAGGCTCTTTGCTGGGGTAGCAAACGTGTTACCCCCTTCACAGAAAGCAATATTACTCATATGTCTGACTCATTTGTTCCCATTTCATTTGAAAGTATCATTTAACCCTCCTGTTGTCTTCGGGTCAAATCTGACCGATTTACTACTTTCATCAATCATAACTTTTTTGTTTTACATTCGATTGCATTAAGGCTTTATGACATCCTTCACAGTAGACCTTTGAACATAGAAAATGGCTGATCACCACTTTCATTGAATTTTGGATGATTTAGTCAACTTTGTAACACCATGGTGTTCCCGGTCAAAAAGAAAAGTAATTAGTAACCATCCGGATCGGATCAGATAAACACACACACACACACACACACACACACACACACACACACACACACACACACACACACACACACACACACACACACACACACACACACACACACACACACACACACACACCACACACACACACACACACACACACACACACACACACACACACACACACCACACACACACACCACACACACACACACACACACACACACTAGATGTGTCCCCCCCATGTGAATCACACCTGACACACACAAACACACACAGAACAATTTGACACATTTCCCGCTCTTATGTGCCCCTCCCCCCACATGGATCACACCTGGCACACGCAATACATGTTCAGTGTCTATTCTTTGTATATTTACTGCAGTTTTTCATGTGTACCAGTAGTCTGATACAATATGTACAGTTTGAAAGGGTGTTAAATGAAATGTGGTGATGATTAATGGTTTTTGTGTTAATGTAATAGCAGTTAAAACAGGACCGGTCAAATTTGACCTCGAACACCAAAGTAAGGGGGGAACACGAAGACAATAGAAGGGTTAAATGCATTTTACAGCCTGTTGGGAGAGGGAGAGAGCGCAGATCATGTTGAGTTTTCGAAAAGAAAAGTATTTGAAAAATAGTGATAAAAAACACCTCTTTGTGAACGTACATATGTCGGAGGGTAAAGTAGAGAAAGCAAAGGTTACTTATGAGATGTTTGACTGAAGAACATATTACGTAGTCAAACATTCAAATGTGTATTCAAATTATAATAAACTGAGGCTAAGAGAATCTGATTTGCGTTGGATCTGAGTAATGATGCTGCTGGGTAACATGTTTTAGAGTGGCTCTGAATAAAAGCATCTCATCAGTGACTGAATGTCTGTTCCCAGCCACAGTACACACCGTCCTCACACAGAGAGGCATAGCAACAGGTACAGGTATGCAGGTTTCCATGGTGACGCAAAAGGTAAATGATTCCATGGTGCACAACATCCCCGTGTCAACATGAATAAAGAATTACACACTCATCTACACTTCAGATCAAAATAAGTCTACATTTAAACAAACGGGTATTCAAAAACTTGTTGAAATTATCATCAGCAGTCCATAATTGATTTAAAAGAGTTTTTCTCGTTTTGTTTTTGGAGCCTACCATGGGACGTCTCAACAAAATGATGACTCATCAAAGTCATGGCAAAGATATGAACCTTGACTTGGAAAAAAAACGTTTGCAATATTTCTTATTTATCTAAGGAGTCTGTCTGTCTTTGGATTTTATCGACAATCGTTCATCCAATCCCTCAGGTATTACTTAAATAGTTGAAAGCAGCCATATTGCACTATCATTGACTAATGTAGCAGTTGTTCTCCATCAGCTTCCTGCCACTCTCAGATCAGAGATCCCCCCCCCCCCAAGTCCACAGAGACGACAACTAAAAGAACAGTGGTTGTACTTCAGTTGTATTGTTCTGAGAAAATCAATACCAAGTAAAAAATGTATTACTCCCATTATTTTAGTTTTCAAACATAACCTGGTTTGAGGTTCGGCCTGATTTTCTCCTCGCTGACCTGAAGGCTCAGAAACTCTGAACTCAGGTTTCCCAGATATTTGAAGTGTGATAACATTTTGGGTAAAGTTTGCTCTGAAAGAGAAAACACGATGTCCACAGGTGGATAAACAAAACACTACTTTTCCAAGCTGGACTTAATTTAACTGACGTGAACAGAGACCCAAAGAGCTTTGTGCTGAACAAAATGGAACGTGGTTGGAGTAGTGTAACAAATAGAGGCAGATCTATGGCAAGTGAGGAAAAATACATTATAGGGATCCATTTTCTAAGATTGTTCCCGGCCTTTGTGTTTAATGACTCAGAATATGATGTTCTCTCTAAGCTACTTCTTCTCTGTATGTTAAAAGGCGGGAACCAAAAAGCTTTGGCAGGAGAATTGTTTTTTTTATCAGGATCATATGTCAGTGTTTGCTGCTGTAATACTCGCTCCTGCCACAAGAGGCTGTAGAGCAACACCACATGTGTTACAGAAGCATTGTTTTCTTCAGGTGAGTTTTCATTTCCCCATGAATCCACACACTTTTCTATAAGGCTGGAGCCATACGGGAACGGTAACGCAAACGAACCAAATTCGATATCAAAAAAGTCTTCCGTCCACACGCAATAGGCACCAGAAATGTGTCCTTCCACACGAGACCGCTCGACCCGCTGTAGTACATATGCCGGGCCTGTAAGTGGCGCTGTACTTCTGCCACAAAATACACCAAAAGCAGCGAAGAAGACTTCCACAGCATGGTTGCCCTTCTGTTTATTCTCCGCGGTGGATTTAGCAGCAGAGGTGGGGAGAGGCAGGGCTCTGGTTCTTTTTCTCCCTCCCCGAGGCAAGCGTGTGCTCCTGCTGTAAATCTCCCCGGTAGTCCACCAGCAGATGAAAAACACCCACCTCTCCGCCTCTTCCAAGGACAAGGGAACCGTGCGGCAGAGTTTCCGTTAGAATTTTTTTTCGACGGTCATGTTGTCTGTTAAAGTTTAAATCTTCTGGACAAAATTAGAAAAGTGCCGGTCAGAGTTCTTCTTTGTTATGTATTGAGCTTTAAAACAAATTGATAACGACTCTATATAATAATAATAAATGGAGCCTCTCTTTTCCTCCCCCTCTTCTGAGAGCCCAGCAGCTGATCTCTGAGCAGGAGAGGCGGGGCTATTGCTTCATCGTTATCAGAAAATGATCGTATGGGCGTAAACACGGAGCTGTTTGGCCCCCCAGAGCGTTGCGTCAACCAGATCTATCCACCTTGGGACCCGTTATCGTTATCTGCGTTTCCCTGTCGGCCTCGTGTGGACGGACCGTCTAGACCAGGCATCCTCAAACTACGGACTCTGGTCCGGATCCGGACCGAACCACCACTGTCTCCGGACTCTGAGCAAATTATACTTTTCATATGTATTATCTCTCTGTATTATATGTGAGACATCGCCACAACGCATTCGCAACGAGTCAAAATTCTCCGCTATGTCCACTGCAAACAGCGCTCTGCATGTCTGACTGTTCCATTGTGTTCCACCTGTGTGTGTCAACGCTTTGGTCCAATCACATTCAGCATCCAGTCAGCGTTTTTTTCCCCCAAACAATCTGCGAATCAGAGGCACAGTAGGGCGGGTCTTCGCGGAATGCGGGTGGGAAAAATGTGTGTGTCTCTTTCAACCTGTCTAAGTCAGAGCGAGAATTAAAAAAACAAAATTCAGAGCGAGAATTAACAGCTCATCTAGTTCCATCTGTACTGTAGCTAGTAGCCTAGTTTCACCTACCGGGGTGGCAACTGACACCCTAAAAATAGGCCTTGCCACCCCAGCTGCCACCCCAGTTGGCAGCTTTGTTTTGAAAGAAAAGTTGTGGCTCATCGGACATTTATGAGAGAAAGTCTCTAATGTCCGAGTGCAAGTGAATGCAGCACAAGATGCACGTCATGTAACCCCTCCCCCGGTCCTGGCGCGAGCGTGGACATACGATTGGCGGCGATTTCATTTTGAACTGGACGGCGCAAAACGAGAAGCATTCGGACCCAAGCGCTGAAGGAATGAGGTATTTGCGGTCTACAATGACAGAGAAGAGACTGTCAGTTTGGCTGTACTCAGCATTGAATCAAAACGCACTAAAGCTGTTGATCTTAATACGTTTGTGAGGCGTTTTGCTGAACAAGATGGTAATCGCCGCATTCAGCTGTAATATACATGCCAACTTGATGCTCTGCTCACGGATGAGCATACACAACTATTAAGATGATGACCTTACGTGTGTAAATATATTTTTTTTTAGGCAAAGGGGGAGTTTGTTGAAGATGTGTTGGGCCTGACGAACCTCAGTGGACACACAAGGGGGAATACATTTATAAAGCAATAATGGGAATGCTGAATGAAAGAGGGTGCAGCTGCCTTTATTCATAACTGTGCAGCTCTTACACTGCGACTCTGAGGGGTCAAGCACAGACACAATAACAATGAAAACTGCTGCATTCAGATTATTTTTGTTTTTGCAACCTCGTGTTAAGAATCTTGTTGCAATTAATTAAAAGTTTGAATGACCGTAATAAACGGACCTTTGTCTTATTGAAACATTTATTTTGGACCTTTAAGATTTGTATTTGAGTACCCCTGGTCTAGACTCTATATGATAGAGAACTGTAGCGGATACGACCATTACCGTTCCCGCGTGGCTCCAGCCTAAGAAGGGTTTGTTAAAATACTGTAATGTCCTTTTTCTATCTTTTAAAAAAAAAATTTAAACTACAAATGAATTGTCAGTCTAATTTATAACGTGGTGGTGTTGAAGTGCTGCCTCTGGTGGAAAGTGCAATGATGCTGGCAATTAGATGCATCTATTCATCCACCTGTTCCGAAGGCGAACACACAGCAGACACTTAGAACATGGTTACTAGATTATTTTTCACTTTTCATGTGCTCCTGGAAAAGTAAATCCAAAATCAAAACAAAAAAGAAATAAAATAAAACTGATTGTAAGTCTTAGAAATACAAAAACATATCACTCCTTTGTTTAATTTTTCTTTCCATGGACAACACCATGACAAACAGCTTCTGTCACAAACCTGACAGCTAAACTGAAAAACATTTACTCAGAAATATAATATCTCTGTTTTTGTCTCATTTTTACAACTTCTCAAATACAGAGCAACATCAGTCTGAGCGTAACACTAACTGAATATGACTGAAACAAAACAAAATAATGATCTTAAAATGTAAAATGTGTCTAAGGCTCTATCAGACTAAAAATATGATACATCACATGATAAATGGAGAACAAAAACATGAACATAAATAACTGCTTCTTTGTTGTTTTTTTTGTAAAGATTAAAATCACCTGGGTTCTACTATTAGGAACCTTGAAACAAACACATGGAGGAAACCGAAACATATTAAAATAAGAGTGTAGACTCTTTTCTGATTTGCTGTAAATCTTGTGTAGGTGGTTGAGTTGTCAGAGATCTTTAATGTGAAGCAACAGATGGAGCTAACATTAGCTGTTAGCATGTCGGTATGGGACTTGTCTAGTCCTATGTTAGATTTTTTGTTGAGTATGTACTCACAATGTCCCACATGTTTCCAAAAACAGTTAAAACATAGAGCAATCTGTATTTTTTCAAGGTAACAAATTACATATTTGTAAATGTTTGCACAAATAAAGCCTCTTCTCTTTTAACTCAACGCACTGTAAACCATCCATACTGTGAACAGCAGCCATCAATGCTCGCAGGACTATTATGAGGCACTTAACCAACCAGGTACATAACAAATAACCCAAAAATTAAAGGACAAAATGTTTGAGAGACTTGACTTTGATCAGAGAAACCGTTAAAGTATATATCCCAGTTAGGCTGAAACTGTGACACAAAAATAACACAAACCAATTCAAACAACGTAAACCTGTTTTGGAGATAATTCAATAGCATAGATTAGTGAAAAGAGTCCCAAACTGACCACCGCCCTGCCCCCTTTATAATGTTCGTAAGAAATCCTCTACATCAGGCACTTGTTGATTAGTCCTTAACTTCTCCACACCGCCCAATCACAAACAAGGAGCGGCCCTCCATCCTCCAATCAGCTCCTCTCATTGACTTAGTCCAGGCGGCGTCTTCGCTGCTCTTTTTTGTTTCCTCTTGGGCCCCCCTCTCTCCCTCCCCCCCTCCACGCTCCGGGAGCTGCGGTGGACTCCGGGGGATCTCAGATCCATGTCCTCCAGGGCGAGGGAGGGGTCGTTGGGGGCAACAGGCCTAGGGGCCGGGTAGCTGGGCTCGTAGTACCGGTACGGGTCGTCCTCCTCCGCCTCGCCGTAGTTCTGGAAGACGTTGGGCGGCAGTTGGACTGCGGGGACAGGGCCCTGGTCAGTGACATATTCACCCTCTGCGTTTTCCAACCAACCAGGAAGCGACCCAGCCAGAACACCAATCAGACGGGCAGAAAGTCAGTGAGAGCCCAATACAAAGATGGCCGCCACCCGACACCAAAGGAAGCAATGTTTCGGATTGTTGCCGTTTGATTTGGTTAATGAGACAGGGAGAGGGGCGGGAAGAGAAGGAAGGAGCAAGAGAGACAGAGGGACAAGGGTTACCAAGGGTTACCATTACTGAATCAGGGTTACGAAGGGTTACCATGGGTTACTAAATCAGGGTTACTGTTTGGGACTGAAAGCAGTGGTTAAAGGGAGGGATAAATTAGAAGTAGAAATAATTTAGCTTAATGTTTGTCCAAATGTCTTAGTCCAGGCACTTATTAGATCTGTTATTTATTAATCTACATTCAATTTGTCACAATTTAAGTTTTCAAGTGGTGCTTTTCAAATGAAAGGTATTTAGATAAGGTTAAAACATTGTGCAAAATGTATTTTTGTAAATTGTGGTGCAGATGAGGTTTTAGGACCTGTTATGGGATTAATATGTTTTTATTATAAATCAGTAAAACTGTGGTCTAAAGCAGAGGCACCGGGTGATCGTAATCTAGAAGGAAAGTCAGGAGAGGACGATCATGTCAGAGCGAGATCAGAGAATATCAGCTGGAACTCATTCTGAATGATATTTGGTGATAGTCTGTATTTCTTTTATATTCAACAAATTACATTCAAATCCTCAAACCAACACTAAATGTATTAATTTACAACTATTGTGTGTGTATTAGTTTCTTAATCCCACACCAACGTCCTACTGCTACACACACTGATAGAGCACCAAACGTGGATACATCCACCTCTGAAAATAGTCCCCAAGAAATGCACAGGGAATTAACTGAACATATAAGACTACATGTTTGTGTTTCGTATTAAGCTGAGAATCTTAGACTGAGAAAGGCCTACATGTGTTAAATGTGTTTAATTAACTAAACTATTTTTAAACTAAACATATTTTCCATTTAGTTTTGAATGAATTTTACGCATTAATGTTGTGTTATACAAACCACTTGGTAAACATTGTATTTAAAGACAATACTCTATATGAAATGATGTGTATGTAGAGAGCAGAGCAGTTGCAGCTAAGGATCCCTGCTGTGGTCGTTGTCAGTTTGTGAATCATCTCAGCTTTGAGTAAAAGACTATGCTGAGAGTTATGAAGAGGACAAGTTGTAAACAAGCATTGACAAACATTAGAGATGGAGAAACAAAGACGGATGAGTGGTTCAACATGCAGACTTTACTCACATGACGCAGGCTCAACACAATCATGCGTTCAAAAGATGACTCATGTAGGGTTTTCTTAACAATGGTCAGAGTTAATGATATCAATTTATTTCCAGTCTTTCAAAAGACAGTATTGCTGTTTTATGTATGTGTAGAGAGCTCAAAGGAACTGCGAAGCTGTTAGAATAGCATTTCCTGACCTTCAAATTCATTCATTTGGAGAGCAAGTTCAAATGTAACAGAAACAAACATATGCTAGCAGCAACATCTATGTGTATTTTGCAGAGTCCTTTGTTGCTCTTTAGCTCTTCTGTTGTATTAAATGGTGTTATATGAAATAGAAAAGCCCCCATGACACACCTTTGTAGTAAACTGACTAAACCCCCCCAGAGTCATTTAACAGGGCGGTCTCCGTCATGTGTCATGGTGCAGCGTTCAGGCACTGATTTGTTCCCCGAGCACTTACTGTTTGTGCAGAAGACCATGCAGTGTCAAACTTAAAGGGCTACTTCACCCAATTCACAATACAAATATGTTTCCGCTCGCAAGAACAATTTGGACTTTCTTTGTTTGGTTTGACACCGAGTGACATGAAATGAAACAATCTTTATTTTCTGGGATTTGGGTGAAGTGACCCTTATTAAAACAATAAATAAATACAAATGATAACAAATGATACTTGATGCTCATCATACACATTTCAGAAAAAAGACCGTTCTCATGCATTTCAGACATGCACCCTGAACACAGGCAGCCTTCTGTATCCTAGGGGGGGGGGGGTTGTGTGACTTCATGCAGCTGTTTAACTCATGGCAGCTTTTCATCATGAAAAGACACCGACTGAATTAAACGTGTAACACAACGACCTTCAATCCAAAAGACGTCCTCTCAGCATTCAGAAGCTTTTCATGCTCAGTTAAACTGTTTATAATATCCACGTTTAGACAGCTGATGGCTTTCACGCCACATGTTTTCTACAATTACCATGGTACATTATATACAGGAGAACGGGGGACTAAACGTGTCAATTATCATCTGCTATTTAAAAAAGCAGATTAGATACAATAACTGATATGATAACAATAGCAGGGGCTTATTTCTAATAAAAAGAGAGAAAATACTTTTAATTATAAATAATTTAGGAAACTAGTTGGAAGTTAGTCGTAATTATCCCTGTAGTCTGATTCATTCCTCCGTACCTCCAACGTTATAGCCCACGCAGGAGTTCTGGTCGCAGTACCCCGGGGGCCCAGCGGAGCCGACAGGCCCTGGGACCCCGGGCCGCCCAGCAGTTCCAGGATTTCCAGGTCTGCCTGAGGTGCCCTGGCTGCCAGTTCTGCCCTGCCCCGGGGTTCCTGGGGGGGGGGGGGAGAAGGAGAGTGTGAGAAGTGGTGTGGGAGAGCAGAGATATCATATGGTGAGCAGTGTGTGTGGTGTTATGTACCGGGGGGGCCTGGGGGTCCTCTGGGGCCTTGGACTCCAACGCCTGGAGACCCTTTCTCCGCCTTTTCTCCTTGTTGACCTACACACACACACACACACACACACACACACACACACACACACACACACACACACACACACACACACACACACACACACACACAACACACCACACACACACACACACACACACACACACACACACACACACACACACACACACACACACACACACACACACACACACACACACACACACACACACACACACACACACACACACACACACACACACACACACACACACACACACACCCACACATTAAAATCCAAGTCACAAGCTATCTCTTAAATAGTGTTGACTGATGGGAAATAAAGTCTACATTTAAAAAGAAAAATGAATTAACATAAATAAATCCATATTCTCTCATTTAAAAATAAATGATTATTGAAAAGGTCAGTTTAATAATATGTATAAGTAACCTTAAAGGTGGGGTAGGTAATTTTGGAGAAATCAGCTGGAGTGCGCTAGAATTTGAAAATACACAGCCGGAAAAAATCTGCCACTTCCTTACAGAGCCCCTCCTCCAACACACACGAACACACACATGACCAATGAGGGCACACAGATGGAAGGCTGACAGGCAGGTAGGCCATCCAGTTACTTTAGCCGGGCCGGCTCAGATGATTGGTCGTGCTTTTTACAGTACTACGGCTTCCACAGATGACATTTTTTATGGATTTTTTGTCCAAGCATTTAATATATTCATTGCTATCGGGATGTTAAGAGAATTCCATGGAATATAACAAAAAGTGTTTCTGAAATAAACGACATATCCCACCTTTAATGTAGGAGCTACATAACTGCTCTTTAAATTCGCCACGAAGTTTGGATGCAACCCTTTGCCCCCCGCATCATATTGAAAAGGCATTTTCTTTAATACATTTTTTATCATGGTCACGAACTGTAACAACAAAAATGTCAGATTTCCGATGGTACTTAAAATAAACATAAAGCTTTAAAAAGTGATGTATTCATCATAATAACTCATTAATTTGTGCCATTAATAAACTGATTTACCAGATGTTGTAGGAAAACCTAAATTCTGCACTCCTCAAAATGATTATAAAAATATTATTTTTGTATTAAATAATATATGGCATTGTAACTATGTTATACTGCAAAAAAGACAATGTCAGCCTAATTTCTGCCATGATTGTGCTGCTTCCATAGAAGTGCAGGATATATTGCAGAGGAAGGAGTGAAACTAGGGTTGCCAACCATCCCGTATTAGCCGGGACGTCCCATATTTGAGCCAAAAGGGGCGTGTCCCGTACGGGACTTTGTTTGTAAAGGGAAAAATAAAAAATATGTTTCTGTTTGCGCGCAATGCAGTGTGTCTGGCTGCGTGCCTGTGTGTTTGTGTGCTGTATGAGAAGGGCGCTAGGACCGCTCAGTTGACAGGGCAGGCACAATGCTCGCACGTGTGTGTGTGTGAGATTTTCTCCGGTGGGCCGCGGGCGCGGCATCATTGTTTGTGTGGCATGTCAGCCTGTTCAGTCGTGTGGGAAAATGAGCGCTGCCGGTGGAGGAGGTGATAATGAAAGAGTAGAAGAGAGAGAGGATGTGGGCCCTGGCCCTTCTAAAAAGAAAAGACTTGTGTCTTACAACAAACAGTGGAAGAAAAACACAGTTGGGTAAAGCCTGTGAGTGGAGATCTGTCTCGGGTCTTCTGCGTGTGCGTGTGTGTGTGTGTGTGTGTGTGTGTGTGTGTGTGTGTGTGTGTGTGTGTGTGTGTGTGTGTGTGTGTGTGTGTGTGTGTGTGTGTGTGTGAGAGTCAGTCAGCTGATTGATGGGAAAATGCTTGGAAAATGGTTGGTTGAAGGATAACATTAAGTCTAATAATGATGTACCGTGCATGTTCACATCATGTATACTTTGCATTACTTAATACCATTTTTCAAATATTTATTTTTTAACATTTTGGACAAAATAGCCAATTGTACATCGAGGTGCCCAGATGTCCCTAGTGCCCACCTATCCGATTTGAACATGCTGATGTACAATGTGATGTAGTAGCCTAATGCAGGTGTAAGACCATTGTGTTTGTATTGTGTTATAGGTATGCATAGTTTTCTATGCATTTTGAGGGTTTTGGGGGGTTTGACCCCTCGAACCCTAGGGGGCTGGCTCCCCCAAAATAATTAAATAACATAACCCCGAAATAAAGTAACAAAAAAACTAAATCCGCCAGAAACCCGAAAATCTTCGCGCGCACGCGCGGGGGACACATGCATGTGTCCCGTTTCTCCATTTCTGGAAGTTGGCAACCCTAAGTGAAACAGCTCAGAGTTCAGGAAGTTGAAGGTCACAGTGCCTTGTTTCTTGGTAGGGACCTCTACAGGCAAACATATATAACTTTTCAAGCAGCAAAACGTAAGATTTCACTTGCTGAATACGAGTTTATCCGTCAGTATGAGCATGTGAAACCGTGTTGAGCCGGCTGTGACTCGTCCCTCTGAGGACCCCTCACCTCTCTCTCCTGGCTGCCCGTTCTGTCCGTTCTGCCCTGGGAAGCCGGGTCTTCCTGAGGGCCCCTGCTCTCCCTGAGTCCCTGGGGTCCCCTGTCGGCCAGGCTCTCCGGGGGGTCCTGGCGCCGTGCGGATGGACACTGGTGGACTGGGCGCCTGGTTCAGGATGGAGTTGTAGCGAGCCATGTGGCCTGGACACAGGATAGGGAAGCATTTCAAAAGATGGAGGAAATATTAAGGAGGTCACAATCCTGCAAGACATGTCTGGAGGTCATACATGGAACTGGCTGTAACGCGTGGCTAACTGTCATGGACTTATTATAGAACTGGATAGGATCCGCCACCCAGCCTTGCTTTCTACATTTCATGGTCATTGTCACAAAAAAACCCTGCAGCCCAAAAAGTATTTTCTCCATGGACCACCAAGAGACATCAGTAAAACTGTTGACACCTCGAGCTAGAACACGTGCTAAATCATTGCTCTTTGTATTCTATATTTTTTACCCAATCTTCGTTAAACTTTTTCAAAGCCAAAACACATATTTCTTCACGGAATGAGGTCACCGCTCTGTAGGAGCTAACACTATGTTTATTATAACTCAGCATAGAGGATGTTCGAAGGGTCAAAGCAATACCAGGCTGGATGTGAGAAGCTGGGAGCCTTCTTCTTTTTCCCCACATCATGATATAATTACATTTTAGTCATTTGTTAGCTTTTATTCTCAAACCTGATTTGATTCACTAAAAAGTTTCTTTCTTTCTTTCAAAACATCCATGCTAAATGTTCTGTATGTTACCATTAGGCTAGACATACATAAGCTAAAGAGGACTGAACCCATGAGTTCCCTTAATCTCTCTAGTGGTGACAAACACTCAGATGTGTACTTCCACACTGGCAAAGTTCCTTATTACCGATTAACCACTGACCATGACCACAACCCTCCCCCTGAGTCCTCGCACAGTAAGTGTGTGTGTGTGTGTGTGTGTGTGTGTGTGTGTGTGTGTGTGTGTGTGTGTGTGTGTGTGTGTGTGTGTGTGTGTGTGTGTGTGTGTACTCACTCTCAATGAGCTGCTCACAGACCGTCCTGGCGATGGCCTGAACTGAAGCTGTGGACTGGAGGTCTCCCTGCAGACACAGCACAGAAACACTGTTAATATGTGTAATTAGCTTCTGCTCATTTAGATTAATGAGTCATCTAACGACTAAAGTCGGAGGTGTCCTGAATATTTTCTAACAGACACATTTGAAAAATAAGCGCCTGAAGTGCACTATTGATTCATGACACCATGCGTTTGTTACATTACATGTCACTTGTTAGACGCTTTTATCCAAAGCGACTTACATACTCAATACTGTGGGCAATCCCCACAGGAGCACTTTGGGGTGACGTGTCTCAGGGACACAACGACATGCTGACTGCACTGGGGTTTGAACCTGTGACCCCCGGACCAAACACCAACGCACTAGCCCACTGCGCCACAGCCTCCCTTTGTGTTTGTGTATGCATGTGTTCTGTTGGAGCAGCTGAATCAACGTCTTGCATTCATATTCCTCCTATTTGCTGATGTTGTAACCACAGGGTAACAAAACACACAGAAACGTTTCTGAGTTGTATCTAATTGAATCTTTAATTTGATGAAAGATGAATCGATGGGTGAATGTGCAACAGACTACATGCTGTGCGAGCGATCTGCAGGTGAACATGTGTTTCATTCAGTTGGCAGCAGTTGAACTTCCTGTTGCTGTGAGTTTTGCCCTCGAAGAAAAGGATAAAACAACAAACCACTCACCATCATCCTGCGTTTTAACCCTTACTGTGTTCTGTAGGATACAGTCATTTGGCAGGCTGTGTCAATAGCATACGTATAATGTCATTGTAATATGAATTTTACATCTGTGTTATAATGGTGTAATATGGGTGTGATGTTGGTTTTATATCTGTGTAACATGGGTGTACTAAGGCTGTAATTATGGTATACTATTTGTGTAATGTTGGTGTTATATGTGGGTAATTTGGGTGTTATAGTTTAATATGGGTGTAAAATAGATAATATATGGCTTTAAAAATATGTAAATGTATACCCTGAATGGGGAATGTACCACAGGAGATGCAGAGTGCACAATGGAAAATGAAAGCCATACTTTGAACACAAGTCTTGAAATGTGCCAAGATGCATTATAAAAAAGGCATTCATTATTCCTATGTTGCTCATTTAAGGGTTAAAGACATCTGAACAGTTTTGAGAAACGCAGCAGCTCTTTGGTTTGGAAATACCCACATGTAGCTGCTCACAGAAACAGAACATCTTGTTATCGCCCTCACAGGAAGAAACACGCAACACTGATAACAACCCTGCTGCGTGAGTACTCTTATGTTTTATCTGGTGAGATGTCTTTGGTCCCTGAAGACGTGGCATAAAACACCTTAGGCAATCTAAAAGTATATAAATAACAGGTACATCTGATTAAATAAGGAATATTGAAATGCAGTGCAATACACAACACGTAAAGCTTGAGCTTCATGAGGGTAATCTTTCTGTCAGCTGTTTGTACACCTCTTGAACACAGGCACTATAAAACATACGCTGTGGGTTTTATGTAAGAAGCAGCTCAGAGTATGGGGAAGTCATGAGCCCTGAGTGAAGTGTCCCACAGACAGAGAGCCGTGGTCTATCGAACTTATTTGCATTATTGCTACCTGCACATCTCACATTTGATCTGAAAAAAGTAATAAGTAGAGGATGCATTACTGAGTAGTGAAAGAACGATGTTTCTTTACAGTGTTTAGCTTGGACCTGCTCCTGTTCGTTTATGCTGGTGTGTACACATGAGTTTCTTCATTCTAAAACATGCATTACACTTACCCGTTCACCTTTCTCCCCCTTGCCTCCCAGAAGACCCTGCAACAGAGAAGAATCAATGAGGAACAAAAAGACATTCACCTTAAACGCACTGCTCATTTCTCAGGTAACAAAAGACGGCTTAACTAAAGGTTCTCTATATGTTCAACGATCTGCATACGTATGTTCCTCCTGTGTCCTCTCTGCTTTCTTGTTTTGATTCATTTAGAGCCCCAATCATTTAGTTGACTATGTATTCATTTGTTCCTATCAGGAACATGTACTTAAAAAAGTCGTCTGTTTAACATTTGAGGGTTTTATAAGAATTCCATGTGAAAACAAACCAACAAAAAACAGAAGATGAGTTAAATAAGCTTCAAACACACATGTTAAGCACTGACTAATGGTACGTCTGTGTAAGTATACGTTTTTGTCCATCACAGCACATTACAGTTGGAGTGGAGAGTATGAGAAATGGTTTGCACTCAACAGACAAAAGGCAATCTAATTCAAACAGATCCGTGTCCATAAGCTGAACTTGACCTTAAGACATTTCATATAAGATGGAGTGGTCATTAGTGAGGCTCTCTGTAGTCCTCCCACCTTTCTGTAAACACATATACACACATTCTAAGTTTAGACACCTTATATCTCAATGTTCTTAATGATATATGAGATATTGGATCAAACTGTAATTGATGTACCAAATTGGAAACATATTTAGTTGTAGGCCTTCATCCTGTGAAAGTTCATAGAGTGGTAATGGGAGTAACTGCTGAGAACAGGAAGCAGGGCTTTATTTAGTTTAACAGAGTAGGATTAGTAAAGCTGTCAAAGAACATTTTTAGGAAGGAAGGCTCTGACTTGAGGTGATCTCAGGTTTCATGAACACGGCTCTCTGGCCCACATTTGAGTGTGTGTGACATGTGGCTGGACAGGAAGAGGTTAATCCTGCTGACAGACCCTTACGGCCCGTCCACACTACAGCGTCGACAGCTTCAATCTGCCCATTCACTTTGAATGGGGTGACGTCACGTTGCCTCGCTTTTTCGCCGAACTGAATTGTGGGTAGCATAGCGGTCCGTCTCCGCGTCTCAGGCGTCAGAAGTTGAACAATGTTCAACTTCTGACGCCGGAGTAGCCAGCGCCAGCCAATCAAATCCCGTTTCTGAAAATCTGACAGCTCAAGCCCTAGCCAATCAAACCGCGTCTAAGCTGGGAGAGATATCCCGCCGTTCATTTCTATATTTCAAAAAAAGATGGAGGAGAAACTAATTATCGCCGTAGCAAATCACCCGGTTTTGTATGAGCAGACCCTCTTCACCTACCGGGATACAAACCGGAGGAACCAGGCATGGAGGGAGGTGGCAGAGACAGTGGGTGAAACTGGTAGGTTTTTGCCTGTTTGGGGAGTTTATATATATATATATATATATATATATATATATATATATATATATATATATATATATATATATATTGCTCCCATAAAATCCCCGGGGGTTTTTGCTTTGTATGTCGGGGGCGGGAGATTCATGTGATTGGTTGTTGGTCGCGTTGCTTGAATAAAATCCCCAAGCTTCAGACACGCCCAGCTCCAAGCTTTTTTTGAAGCTGTAGTGTGGACGCTCCGTTACTCTAACCTCTCTGTGTGTCTGACAGACTCTGTGAAGCCTGACTGACACCACTTCCTGCAACTGCTTTTGTCAGAAGGATAAGGGGGAACATGAAACCATGTGTTCCTGCTTCAGGTGTGAACCCTCACTGGGGTCAGCAGACTGACACACTCACCGGGGGGCCCAGTTCTCCCATTTTCCCTGGAGAGCCGGGGTTACCCTGGGACCCCGGGCCTCCTGGCGTCCCCTGAAGAGACACAGACAGATATGATGAGGAAGATTCAGGATCAGAGGAGACTTCATAGGCCGGTCAAAAGAAGAACACACAAGTGAAGATAAAACAACTTCAATATACTGCTTGTATTCACATGGTGTGAAGATAGACATTTTATATATCTTACCTCACTACAAGTAATCAAATCATAATTAACACTCTCAGTTCAGGCCGACATATTGTTTAACTATTTGTATTATTATTTATTTTTATGAAGTATTTACTGAAGAAATCAGCAGCATTGATCACAAAAAAATGCATACATATGGTGTTTTGATTTGTTTTAACATATTAGCCTGCTAATCACACCCAGGTCACTTTTAATATTTGCATTAATTGAACTGCTAACATTCACTAGCTTTTTGCGCACTTAGTGTAGTGGATGTGAACTGCTTCATAAGTGACCAAAGTAGGATCAATATTATTTTGTGATTCAAAATAGTTTATAAAGTTGCATGTTTTTATAAGAGTGTTGAATAAAATGCCAAACATAAGAAGTTCATGGTGGTTTACAGGATTTTGGTTCCAATAGATCGTGTGAAGTTAAAGAAAGACGAGAAAACAGCATCAAGTCTGTTAGCTGACCAAGACAACATGTAATCATCACTTACAGTAGTTCCTGAGGGGCCCTGTCTGCCCTGGGAGCCGTCTTTGCCTAGCAGGCCCTGAGGGGGAGGAAAACACAAGCAGGTCAGAATAAAACATGTGGGCGTTCAGGTGTATTCAGTATGTGAGAAGGTGCTGCTCCTGATATTTCCCAGCCTGACTGTGACCTGGCATATCAGTCTATGGACACTGCTGCAGCACTTATTGACTCACTCTGACTCCTGCAGGTCCTTCTCGGCCTGGAGCTCCAGGTCTGCCAGAAACTCCCTGAAACAGAGAGCAGAGGTCGCTGAAGGTCACACTCACACGGCGTCAATATACACACATTCAACCAATCACAGGAATATTACAATAACCTGACTCATGTGACTGAGTGGAACTGTGTCAAAATGTTTGATGAATAATTACCAGGACTATAAGAAAAAAAAAGAATCTTATTTTTAAGTACATTTTATAATATATAACATTAGAGCTGTCATATCTAAATAAATAGAAAAATAAGAGTAGTAATACATTATATGTCACTTGTTAGACGCTTTTATCCAAAGCGACTGACATACTCAATACTGTGGGCAATCCCCACAGGAGCACTTTGGGGTGAAGTGTCTCAGGGACACAACGACATGCTGACTGCAGTGGGGTTTGAACCTGTGCCCCTCTGACCCCAACACCTACGCTCTATCCACTATCCATCTTTACATTAATGCCACTAAGAATACGATGAACCGTGTAACTTTAAAGTCCGGAGTTCATGTTGATCTGTTCCGTTTTAAACTGTTGTTGCACAAACTCTGTAAGCATAATTCCTTCTGCCTAGTCACTCAGGGAAAAGAAATAGATTTGAACAACAGAAATTGACTTTTGCAAATGGCACCATTATTCAAAATCAGACAACAATTTCCTTCCAAAATGTCATGTTGGTGGTAATATACTGTGGAGCAGAAATGACTTGTGGGTGGATCCGTGCACGGTGTAATGTTACACAATGATCATTCATTTCAATCTAGAACTAAAACAGTCAAACGTTTGAGAAAATGGGGGGCATTTGGTGAAACATACGTTGTTTAGGTACTTTATTCAGATGTATGATTCACATGTTGATCATGCAGACCTAACACAATAGTTTTCTTTATCAAATGGATGTCTGGAAATGTCACAATAATCCCACAGTATAAGTTTTCTCACCTTGAGCAACATTATACCAAACATGCTTCAATGGACAACTTTTATGTTGTGTTTGCAATGTCTATGTTACCTGTGTTCCTTGTGGTCCAGCTTCACCTTTCTGTCCTCCCTCTCCTGGAGCGCCCTGCACACAAAGAATGGTACAGTATGTATATCGTTGATACATCATCGAATTACTAAACAACATATTTGCAATCATGAAGACATTTTTACAAATACTGAATCACATCTGAATTCAAAAACAAACTGTCAGGGCAGCTATATTATTCTGTTCTCCAAAAGTACAGAAAACATGAGAGAACTAGTAGTTAAATAGTTAAATATAAAAGAGTGGGGTAGTATCAGGTATATACAGCTGATGACCTCAGTTCTATAGTGAGGCAGGGAGCTGGGTGTGTGTGTGTGTGTGTGTCTTACTGGGCCCCCCATGATGGAGCGTCCACTCGGTCCCTGTGGTCCTTGGGACCCCTGAGGTCCTGGTAAACCTGTGTCCCCGACTGAACCACCTGGTCCCTAGACAGAGAGAGAAAGAGATACAGACTTTAATGTTGGCACATATGTATTGAACACTTTCCCAGAGGCTTGTTGCTGATTGGCTAACCTCCACAGAAAGGTGTATATTATTCCCAGTTCCACAAGAAACAAGAGTCTGCCTGAATGTCTGTCTGTGTTGAGGCCTTTTATATTTCACCATAAACAACAACATTTATTTTGGTTACATTAAATAAAACTGCGTGGACTAGATGCGTAGATGGGAGGAGTCAAAAGAATGTTGTAAAGATTGTTACATTGGCATTTCTGTCAAACGGGCTACAGGGAATCTCAAACCAGATATCCGATTGAAAACTGTTCAAATACTTCCAGGAAACATTACACTTGACAATTTCGCAATTTCATAGCTTTCGACTTGCCACATGTAAACTGTGAAAGCGGTATTAATAACAAAGACTAAGTTAATAAGGGCTGAATACTAAATGCCAATATTATCCGAATTGAATGATGTTACTCTAACATCATAAACACTGGAACAAGTGATGAGTATCCGTTTAGTGGCTGATCTGTTCAAAAACATACTTTGACCATTCCTCAGAAAGTAAAGTTAAAGGTTAAATCCAAACACTTTGGTTTTGTTTTATAAAGCGTCATCATGTTCTGCTTTGATATCTTTTTCTGCTGATGGTCACTTTTTAAAACCCCATTTCAAGGGTGTAACATCTGATTATTTGATATGATGGCTGAGAGGAAGTGATGGTAGAGATGTTATCAGAATATGTCATGTTAGTAGTCAATATTTGAGCCAAAGCATAATGTTGCTTCAGGATGCTATGTGAAAAAACCAGGGCATTTTAAAACCATCAGTCTTTTCAGTCTTTTTTTTGCATGTTTCTATAAACATGTTGCATATTCAGTGCTTGCTTTTGGGTTAAAACCTCGTTCTTTATTCCATTTGATCAAAGTAGAGCAGCAGCATTGATATTCAAACGTTATCAGTGAATGATCAGCGTCCTGCAAACCCTTTTGAATTCTCCAGCATGCTTTACAAACCACATCCTTATCAGAGAACAAGGTATTCAGCTTTCATACTTGCATGTTGACTGAGGACGGGTTTCATAAGCTCAAAGCAAGTTTGAAAATATCGTAGTTACATAATTTGTTTTGACCATATATTCATGCTGCTCCATACTTTTTGTTGAACACAGAGCAAAAGTGTTGGACTTTTTAGTTTTTTCTTGCCAAATGTCTTCCAACATTTATGATGACATAAACTTGAGTGTGAGATACACCAAGGGAACGAGAGAGGACGGGGGACAGAGAGAGGAGAGACTTGTCGACATCTACGATAGTGCGGGCACCGAATATCGAGTTCTCAAACAGGATGGAGGTACGTAGGTATAAAATACTGTACACAATTTGTACATGATCTTGGTAAAAAATTCTTAAAGACTATGTACTTCAAAGCATGTATAAGATACATTTGTAGTTTGCCTTACATCTGACATGTGACACGTTTTACACTGTTATATGTACATTTGACCACCTTTACACTTAAGCAATTAATAGTTAGACATGTATTTATATTTTATTTTCTTCTTACGATTGTCCTTTTAATTATTAATGAATGTGTGACAAAGAATATGTGATTATCAATGAACACATAGCTCACATTTAGCATCATTATCAAGTATCAATGTATCAATGCTCAGTTGTTATGCCTGAGAAGCTGCTGTCTGACATTGAGATCACCTATTTGTCTTTTTGGGGAGTTTTTGCCTGCACTTGGCTGGCATTATTTTCTCACTTCCAACTTCTATCTTGTTGGTGGAGAGTACGCTGACATGAAGGAGGAACAGCCCAATAGCTACTTCAAACATTCGTAACGCCAGCTGCTGCCTGAATTGTGTTGCTGCTAAAGCAGTATTTTGGGAAGGATGACCTTTGAGCAAGGCAACAGTCAGAGAAAGGATACAGATATAAACAGCAGTATTGTTCCCATAGTCTCATTGACGCAGTCTTGTAAAGGAGGGGTGAACAGAGTGGTATTAAGTTTTGCAATCTGCAATCGCAATGCTATATGCCTCTCAAACACACTGTCCCTTTTAGTACAGAAAATAAATTGCCATAAGGAAAATTAGATCCATTCTTCAGCTTGCGTCTCTGGGTGCAGCATAATTAGAAGCATATACATGACATTACATTACACCTGTTAGACGCTTTTATCCAAAGCAACAGGAGACACAGCCTCCTAAATGTAACATGACTTTGTTAAGTGTGGTTTATATGCTGCATGTTTACAATTAAAAAGGCACAAGGTGCACCATACTGTGTAGTTGTTCACCTTTTCTGCTTTACAAACAAAATATGTGTACAAATATATACTCTACATTGTAATATATTGTTCCTAATTTTGAAATGATACATTTTTAATAATGCCCATTATTTTACTTAATGTATAAGTATCTGATTAGTCTGATAGTTATGGTTTAACCTAATGCCTTTGTTCTGTTACCTGGTTCCAAAGCAAGATAGTAGGCAACAGTATCAACAATAAGTGAGAAAAAAACATTTCCTGTTTTGAACTAATGGTGTGTGTGTGTTTTTTGTGTGTGTCCGTGTCAACCACAAACACACACAACCACACTTCCCCACCAAGCTGTGCATTGATGAGGGTTAGATTTAATGTCTGACAGAAAATCTTGTATCTGAAAACTCTCACATTTATTTGAACAAAGATAAATATAGTTACTCTCTTACATATATTTTTTTCTTCGCAACTATGTATTAATAGTAGGGATGGGAATTTGAAAGCAAATGTATATTCGAATATTCGACCCCCCAAAAAACGGTTAACCGGTTAACCGAAATGTACATATCCTATACAAAAAAATTGGGTAAAAAAAAAATGTTCAACATTTTTTTCTGATTTTTTTATTTTATTTTTTACCCAATTTTTTTCCAATAATTTTTGGAAATAAATAAATACATGTTCAAATAAGTGTAGAAACCAAGTCGAATTTGTCAAATGTATTGAACTGGTGATCACAGTTTGACAGCTATAGGCCTACATCTTTCATGTGCGGGATTCACAATCAGCCCAGCTGTAGAGAAGACCCTCTCAGCTGGAACGGAGGTTGCCAAGCAGCGCTTATTGTTGTTTCGGCTGGCCACTCATGTGTCGCGAGTGTTGACAGGGGGCGGGGAGCACGCTCATGAACTGTTAGCGCCGGAACCTCGCAACGGCTGCGGAGCGCATTTGCGCCACATTTGGGCATAAGATGAGGTTTGAGTCTGCGTGATCTGCGTGTAGGGAGGGGCAGCAGCCATATCATTGGCTAGAACTAGCTAGATCTGATGGATTTGGACATAAACACGAGTGAAGCATAACCGGACGCGAGAGAGAGAGAGATCAGCACCTGCAGCTCTGCCCGCTGTGAGGGACCGGTGAGCGGAGCAAAACACACCTTTAGACGTCAACTAACACATTTAGCTATGGCACTGTCGTATTGAATTGAATTATTCAATTTGATAATATGTAATCAACTTAGGCATCACTCCCAAAAAAAAAAAAAAATTTATAAAAATATTCATAACTCATATTCGAATACATGAATCATTTTAATATTCGAATATTCGATTAATCGTTCCCATCCCTAATTAATAGTTTGCAGTCTCATACCTGAAGTAAGGAAAACTGCCAAACTGGTGTTACAGGGTTGTGTGTGTGTGTGTGTGTGTGTGTGTGTGTGTGTGTGTGTGTGTGTGTGTGTGTGTGTGTGTGTGTGTGTGTGTTTGTGGTGCCTTCAACCAAGCTATGCATTGATGTGGTTAAGGGTTTCATGGCTGACAGGGAACCTTGAGTCTTGAAAATATCTCCTTTATTTAAATGAAGAAAACATTTAATAGAATAATACAAATTATTTGTATATATGCATTTTCCATTTTACTTTGTATTTGAAGTTTGCAGTCTCCTGGCTGAGGTTTAAAAAAATCAGTGACTAAGGTTAAAAGGTTGTTATCTAAATGAACCAAATACATAAAAAGGTGTGTGTGTGTGTGTGCTGGTACTTCCGTTATAATCTCTACTGATGCCACACATAAACTGGTCTCAGAAACATAGCAGAAACCACAGTACAGTGTTTAACGTTAACGGGGCAACACTTCTCAAGATGCCACATATTTATGAGGTACCACATTTATCACAGAAGGTGAAATTCAACAGAAAGCTGCAGGAGGAAAGGGAGGTGGATATCTACGAGAATGCAGACACTGAGAATCAGTCACAAGAAGGTGGTAAGTGATAGCTTGACAAATCAATATTGTAACTCATTGTATGTGTGTAAACTTCCTTTAAATCATGTTGGGGTGATGTGAGGCTGTGGCTCAGTGGAATAGTGTGCTGAACTTTAGATTTCTTTGAACTTTGAAAGTTCGAGTCCTACTGCAGTCAGCATGTCGTGGTGTCCCTTAGACACTTCCCCCACATTGCTCCTGTGGGGATCGCCCACAGTACTGAACGTATTGTAAGTCGCTTTGGATAAAAGCGTCTAACGAGTGACATGTAATGTAATGTGTGAACACGAAGCTTGTTCTCAGTTGTGTTTGTTGGACTCAGCTTTCCAGTCACAAGGCAGTGCAGCTCGTCAGCATCGAGGTTCATTTCAGTTTACAATGTACAGCTTGTGTTTCTGCAGCTGTTTCCTAGTTAGATTGAGCTCTGATCAAATAAAGTACCTGCGCTGAGTTTGTTACATTCGGCTTTCCAGTCCAAAGGAACTGCAGCGCTTCAGGGCCTTTGTTTGTCTCTACACTTCAGACCTTCATCAACCTTATGCACACTTATGTTTTGCTGCTTTTCCTGCAGTGTGTTACGCTTCCTATACTGGTTCAAACGGCCACATTTCTCTACATAACCTGAATCCAATACATCATTGTTTTAGCCAAGATTCCATTTCAAGTGTTGTGTATGAAGGTCCTATGTTTTGGGAAACTGAGTGTATCTGTTTGTACCAAATCAA